ATTTATTGAAACGAGATTTTACAGCATTAACCACGGTTAAAGATGAATCGTTAAAATGTGGGTAAAATCCGTGTGGTCCGAATTTTTTTAACTGTGGGTAATACGTAGGCGTTGTTGCATTTATAGAAGCATTTTAAAATGTCTTAAAAAGTCCTAAAATACTTAAAATAGACTGTTTATGAATTATCCACATTTGAAAAAATGTTGTTTATGAGCATAAATGACAAAAGCTAAAAAGGAAAAAAAATTTCCTTTTGATTAATGAATCTTTTATCTTACAGATTTTATAATGTTGCGCTTAATTAAAACGGTTGAATTTAAGTGATACACGTCTATAATGTTGCACTATTCTTGTGTTATTTCTTCTAGATACTATCTAACCGATTTAGTGATAATCACCAATTTTAAAAATTTCGCTAGACATTATAACCTTGAAAAACATAGAACTAAAACATGTTAGGGTTTTTTCGCGATTTCAATAATTTTTTGGTGATTTCCTACTATCTGAAATCTGAATTATTGAATTTGATCGTGATTTGGTAATTTCATGCGATTTGAAATCTACTGAATCTAGAATATGGATTTCGTTACTTTATCCATTTTTCTCAACGAACAATGTTCTTTATATGGTATTGTTTTAGAAGAATGCATCAAGACTTGTTCTTCTTTTGCACTGAAGATCATGAACAGAGTTCACTCCTAGAGAGTTAGGGATTATAACATTCCAGCACACATCTCGAATTTCTACGCTCATAGAGCGTATGAAAAGTTTCTCCCACCAAAAATGTTTGACCTCCTTAATGCTCAGTTGGGTCCAGACCCCGATGTGCCTAATCTCTCTAATAATCTCCAGCTTCTCTCTCAGGCACTATGGAACCTTCCTGACCTCGTTGAAACTATGTCAAGCTCTCTCAGGTATTCATTTGCGTCTTTTTCCTCGATTGGCTCAGAGAACAAGATAATGCAAGCAAACATAGTACGCATGAAATTTACGCCGGGTGGCATTCCACTGAAGGAACGCGGTGGATATAGCATAGGTATACCCTACTAAACACATAAGAACGTATGTTATTCACTTTTATTTGTAAACATGGTGTGAATTATATAAATAAAGGAACCTCCAGTCCATTGCATAAAAAAAATGTAAGATCATAGTATGTGTATAACATTAAGTACTCTTATATAAATTTTCATAAATATTAGATAAGGTGTTCTTGTTGATCTATACAATGATAACAACTTAAAATAAAGAGAGTTGTTTAGAAGTTATCACAAGATCATCTCATTAAACAACAACAAAATGTTAAAAGCTTTTGGGGGTTGAGGTTGGTATGAAAATATTATGTGAGTAATAATTATATATAGAGCAGCATAAAGAACATATATAGAAACAAAGACTAGTTTTCCTAAGAAGGAGGGTTATTCTAAACAAATTCATGTCAAATTTAGGTAAATATTAGTTGCGAAAGAAGACAGAAGTAGAATAATATGGGAGGTAATGTATAAAAGGATAAGTTAGATAAGACTGTTGAGAAATTGTTCATTTTGTCCATATATATACAATATTGATATCAATATGTACGAAGATTATTTATTTTGTTCAGTGAGTCCATACTCTTCTGCTCACTCCTCTAGCTACAATCCTACAACTTACCCCTGCTCAATTTAGCCAGCTATATATGTCTCTCAGACTATGTTTTTTTTTTCCTTTACAATCTTTTATTTTGGATATC